TAAGCCTCCGTTTGACAAATTTATATTATTTATGTATATTTTTTTAATAGACTATTGTATTTATGATTGTAAGCATGCGATTGAGTGTATTCGAATACTTTCTGATAATATGAATATGCGTATGCATTGAGAAGCACAAAAGATAAGACTAACATTCCGATCAAGAATTATTTTATCTTATGTCGGTGAATAGAAGTTTTCATCTTATTCTAATAAGGTCATAGCGTTAGATACTCTACCAATTGGATTATGCAGTTTGTCTTAATTGTGACGATGGCCCTGTAGGGAGTGTTTATACCATTACATAAAGTATACCTCATATTGTATTGGATTTGACTATATGTGCAAATTAATTTCCATAGCATAATTGTTAACACAAATTAATATATACTTGATTGTCTTAAGAATAATCTAAATCTTCTACGAAGTACTGGTTTATATTTGTGAAATCGAGTTTATTTGATGTGCCAACGAATGAAAACAAATTACACGATCATATGCATCGTTACGTTAGGAGCTGACATGAATAGAAGTAGTGAGAAGTTGTATTCGTATTTGGAACCCATCACCCTATTAAATGGATTAACGAGTCCACTTGAGTTTTTTTTTTTTTTTNATATATCCACTTTTGTTTTTTTTTTTTTTTTTTTAGAAAGTAGTATTTGGTGAGAACTGAATTGTAATTTCGTGATTGCATTACGAAGAATCAGTTAGGAAAAAAAAAAAAAAAAACTCAAAGTGAGAAAATAATTAGAAGGTAGAAATGATCGTTTTAGCTCGAATTTAACTATTCGAATTCCGATGAGTAAGGCATGAAGATTACTAGTCAAGATGATAGAATGGTATCGAATTGAAATAATATTGCTTCTGTTACTTTATATATTTTGGGAGTTCAATTTCTTTTTTTAAAAGTGAAATGAGCGAAAATTAATAATTGTTATGTATGTATGGCCATGGATTGGCTTGATTGCGGTTCAATTATTGGAGTCTAAAATATGGGCAGTGTTACGTTGCCAGGGCCCATGTGGCTTTGGCAGGGTCCTAAAATATATGTCTTGTCATGTCCATTTGGTAGCTTTTTGAAAAGTCTTGGACTTACTTACATTAGTGATGAGAGTTCATGACTTACCAATGCAAAATGGTCAAAATAAGATTATTGGAAGTAACATGATTGAGATCTGCAGTACCTATTCCTACTTAGGTATGCTACATTTGGTCTAGATATATAAAGTTTTTGATTTAACCTCATTTTGTCCTTGTTCACACTTTATAAAAATTATTTCTTCCATTTATTTCTTTATTTAATATTTTAGTATTAATTGATTCATAATTATTTCAATATGATGGTTATTTTTATTTAATATTTATTTTTAAACT